TGTAATCCCAGCTCTTGGGAGGCTGTAAACAGGTGGATCACTACGAGTCTGATCTAGTAGTAAGGGCCTGAACACCCTGGAGACTCTTCCATAAAAAATACAAAAAATAAAATATAACAAATTTTTGTTCATAAATTTCTTATAACTATTTTTCTATGGGTGTATTCATTTTATTGATTTCAAGAAATATAATATTCATGCACTTGTATTCTTATTTTGCAGTGAAATCTATTGATCTTTTAGTTATTTTTATTTTAGATTGTTTTAATTGATTTCATGCTTTTTTTTTTAACCTTCAAATAGCTACCTTCAATTTTACTACACTACTGGCCAAAGCTATACCATCTGCGTATATATTTTAAAAATAGCTTTATAGCCCATTAACGGGCTAATTGGGGTATTTAAAACCTACTAAATCCCATAAAGAGACATAGTGGATTTTCACTTAAAACATTCATTCTCTTTAAAATGCATCCAAATGACAAGATCTGATGTTACATTCACTTGTTTATACTTAAGTATTCATTTTAAGGAATTTATTTTACACATTATATTGAAGTATTGTCCTAACAAAATCTATTAGATAATCCCTTCTCTCACCACTAATTTTTAAAAAATAATTCTAAACACTACTGTATCACATGCAGTATTTCTATGGCACTGTACAGAAATACAATGCTGTATTTGTTTCTTAGCTCCTATTCTGTTTCAATTATGTGAATGGTCTCTTTTGCTTTGCTCTAGTGTTATGCTTTTTATGTTTATTATAATTGTGTACTTCTTTCTTTCTAACATATGAAGGTGGGACTCCTGCTGTGAAACCTTTTTGTCTCTTCATACCTCATATGCTTCCACATGAGCACTGAACCATAACAGATAAAACATATAAACATGTATCAATACTAACTGGAATTCATAAATTAATTCTGAGAGAATTGATGCCCTCAGGCTCTCACGGGATCTGCAAGACAGAAAGAAAACAGAGCCTTAGCAGTTTGCACACAATCAAGACACTGATCAGTAACTTCAACCGTAAGAAGCCCCTGATCGGAGAATCTCACATACGAACAATGGCAGTTTCTCAGAGCTTAGCCAAATGGATACTGACAGTTCCTTTGGGTATGCTTTGTTTGGTGTAATGAGCATTATAGATCTCCTTGCTTTTCTAACCATGATCCATTAAAAAAAACTGAAAAATTTAGTCTCTATAAGCGTTTAAGCTATTAATATAAACATCCAGGTTTTATAAAATGAGGAAGACTGTTGCTCTCCTGAACGCTTAGTGATTGCTAAACTCCCCCGTCCCATGCAGGGCAGTTTACTGAGAGGAAGAACCCTTCCTGGAGTTTACCTGACTCGCTGCCTGCACGACGTGGGGAAACCATGGAGCCCCCTAGGAGTCAGGGCCTCTCCCAGCTCACCGCTGTCCATAAACTCCTGGATCAATGGTGCAAGCTCCTCAGCAAAGGTCAAACCCTGTCTCCTGCCATCCCCTCCAAGGGAACGTCCTCAGCTTGTTTATTTCTGATGTTTGCACAGAGTTTGTCAGATTGACCTTCCTTCTTGCAACTTGGTCACTTATCTCAACTATGTGGCTCATTCCCGTTCCACACTAAGATTGACTCATGCCCAGGAGTCTCTGGGGAGAAATTTGGCCCTGGCGACCTCTAGAGCCCACACTGTGGCTGGTTCTGCCCAGTGTTCTTCTCGATGTGCTCTATTTTCCTGGTGAGGCTCTTTTTTCATGTATCATCATTCACCCAGCTCTGGGCTGTCATGATAGCTAAGGCATTCAAGGCATTTCGGTAGACTGTTTCCGTTCCGCCTGACCTGGCTGATGGTTGGGATGAACATAGCCCCATTAGAGAGCCTACATTCCGCGAAGTCTGATTTATTTCACTCTCCACATTGTTTTCCAGTTGCATCCATTTTCCTATAAAGGCCTCAAATTAGTCATTCTTCATAGCTTAGTAGTATTCCATTAAATATAAATGCCACATGTTGTTTATCCAGTCATCTGTTGCCGGCTACTCCTAGGATTTAGCTATTACAAATTGTGCTTCCATAAACACTGGTATCCAAGTATCACTATAGTCTGATGATCTAAATTCTCTGGGGAAGACACCTAGCAGGAGGATCGCGGGTCACACGGGGAATGTCTAATGTCAGTCCTTTGAGAGATCCCCTAATGGTTGTACAAGCTTACATTTGCCCTAACAATGCAGGAGAGTTTCTTTTTAGTCCAATGGGAAGGGGAAGCCGATTAAAGAAAAAAAGAGCAGTGAAGGTCCAGGATGCCACTGTTCCGTGTCCTCGCGGGCCTGCTGCCCAGCAAAAGCACCCAGAGGTTGAATCACGTGGCAGCCTCCCCGACTTCTGCCCCTCGGTTTTCTTTTTTTCTCCAGCAGGCCCTGACCCTCGCGAGACGACGACCACGGTCCCTTCGCTTACAGCTACACCATAGTGGAAGGAGCGCTTTCCCACGGCAGGCAGAACCCATCAGAAAATGGGCACCGGTCTAGGAGCACCCTCCTAGGATTCTTTGCAGCCTCTGCTTTATTCTTTTTCAAGAAAATAAAAATGCAAACAAAAATAAAAATGACGAAATGTTTTCATACTTTCCTGAAAGCGAGTGTTTGTGGTGGGTGCATCTATATTACCTTCCCTATGAGGGGCATGAACAGCTTTCCCAGCAGCTCGCCCTGTTATCTTCCTTTATAGTTTCAACAAATTTATTAAACAAAATTTGCTCACATTTAGGGTGCTTTACCCAAAGTCTTATTGCTTCCTGGCTTCAATTACATGAGGCCCTTTAATATTTAATAAACATTTCTTTTGTTGAAGTGTAAGTTAATTAAATAATGAGACTGGATGGACCAGAGCATTCACATACAGTGCTGTTATTAATTCCCTTTAGTCATTTCTTATTATAATGCCTCGAAATAATTAGAGATAAAATTTCTTGCCTTCACAGCTTGAAATCTTTTCAGATGTCTCTGAAACGCAGAGCAAATCTACTGGCTAAACCTTTTCTCATTTAGCATATAGTTTATTTTCTCATGGTGTAGAAGAAAATAGTAATATATCCATTATTTATGGGAGAAGTTGCAAGTTGTTAAAGATCCTCCATTGCCTAGCCAGCGATGTTGTTTAATTTTATTAAATATCCAGAGAAACTGTGGCACACACTATGTTCTGGTTTTGTTATATTCATATGACACTATAATTCCATAACTCTTCTGTTTTTACCAGAAGTAGAACTGAAGAAAGACTCTGGAAATTAGAAAAAAATATGTTTGATTTTAAGTACTTGTTTTATTTTTAAATTTCTTTTTACCTATTAGTGATGGGCTGCAAAGCAGTGTCTTCTACTCTGCATACTTTTTAATCTTAGAGTTTAGAAAAATTGTTTTTTTCTTTTTTTTTCTTGCTTCTCTATTTTTTTCTCAGTCCTGCTCTTCCCAAGAAAGCCAGAAGTGTGACAGAAAGGTGTGATTTTTAATTTACACCAGTATCTCACAAATAATGACTTTTCACACCCCATGTTGCTGCCTAGCCTAGGAGAGGGGCTTTGTGGCTACTGTCTGCCTTGTCAGATTAAACTCACTGCTGTAATTCAGAAAGGCGGGCTTCCACATTTAACCCTTGTGTGCAGCTCAGCATTTGCAAATGCAAGCAAGACCCCAACTTATTACTTTGAAGTGAACTTATTTTCTAGGACATATCTTTGGAAGGCTGTTATTGTCAGCTGGCCAGGTAGGAAAGGTAATAGCTTTCCCCTGTCTTCTGTTTTCATGGTGTTTGTAACTGTAACTTCTTTAAATACACACACAAAAATAAAAATACAAGAATCTTTACTTGTAGAACTCCAACAAATAAAAATTAAGTACATGATCTAATTACTGTTTTCTCCTATTTGCTAGTTCTAGTTCTCTAAGAGTAGTTTTTTCCTGTCTTTTCCCAATAGTCAGTGAATTACTGTACTGATAAATTTATTGTTCAGATTAAAATTTGAGACTGAAAATAATATTAAAATGATTAAGGTGTTTTAAGTTTCCATTGAGTCCATTAAAAATCTTTTTGGATTGAATTGTAAAAGCAGAAAATTAACTGCTCAAGGAAAATGTATTAAAACTGATATTTATGATTTGAAATAGAGTTATCCTAAGTGCAGAATTAGCAACAGGCAAAAATAACCACACAGTCAAGCACATATCCCAGAGACTCTGCATAACTTCTTTCACTTAGAAAAATTATTAACATACTTATTATTTTTCAACTTGGCATCTGCCACACTAAATTTTTTAAAATACCACTTCATTCAAATTATTGTACTAGTCCCAACAGTGTTCAGCAAAGTTCTAGAGCTGAAAGGAACTCCTAAGAACAACATCACAGGGAAGGACAAGCACATTGGGATCCTCAGAGAAACTTGGACCCTACTTTCTGTCCTTGCTGACCCAAGGTAAAGAGAAAGCCTCACCAAGGAGCTTTCCTGGCTGGGAGTCCCAAGGAGTTAACTGGCCTTAGGTGACTAGTACCTCAGTCAGGCTTTTGCCTGAGACTCTCTGCCTGTCTCCCCAGCCCACCCTTTTTGTAAATGTCAACCACTTCCTGATGGTTTCACACCTTTCTTTCCTTTGTGAAGAAAGCTGAGTGTTAATGGTACAGGATTGGGCACCTATCGTTGTGTTGTTCGCTCTGGCTGCCACTTAGGAAAGCTGGGAGATGCCTGTGGGGAAAAGCAGGAGAAGGTGGAGAAACTGGAGAAAGGAGATGTGGCAGTGAGTGAAAATTCAAAATCCGCTTTGCTCTTAAAATGAGCATTAGCTGTCTTGGGAAACTGCAACAAATATATATTAACTTTAGAAAAGCTTAGTATTGAGAGTCTAAAAGAGTCTAGTAGGGGAAGGATCTGACTGTTTAAAAAATTAAAAGCATCCATCAGGAAAAAACGCTGGAGAATCCTTTGACCTTTTATCCCACAGGTGTACTATTTATCAGACTCAACAATGGACGCTTGGTCAGTTGCTCAGGTCTGCAGCTGGTTGGTGGAGAAAAATTTAGGAGAGCTAGTTCCCAGGTTTCAAGGTGAGTCATTTACACTTTCTAATAATTTAATTTGCGCAGCCTCGATCCCCTCGGTATCCCCTGTTGCTGAGTCTGCCTTTGTTCTTTCTACTGCCCACGATTCCTCTTCTGCCTGCCTGTGTGTGTGCGAGGGTGGGATGGAGTCACTGCAGCTGAACTTTTCATTTCTTCATTGACTGGCAGTTTCCGTTTACTGAGGGTCTTCTCGAGAACATAGTATTTCAAGAACTCTTACATACGGCATATTTGGCACATATATTTCATAGTGCTTTTGCCTCTTACAATCCAGTATGTGTTTTATCTACAAATATTGATGTTGGATAGGAGGCTTTACTAAGAGTAATTTCCCAAGAGCTCTTTTCGCTGTACAAATATAATGCTAGGGCGGGAATGGGGAAGGTTAGTAAGTGTGGTAAATGTGTAAAGAAGAATTTTGATTGTGACTTTCGGTCTTGGTTCTTAAGAGCAGGTATCTCTTTGGAAGTGTGCGATATCGAAATGTGGCTAATTCGTCAAAACTGTAGCGAATTGTGTAAGTCCAGAGAACAACTTGGGTTTCACCTGCATGTGATGTCTGTGTTGTACTGGGGTTCCATAAAGAAATTCTTTTGCCCCCAGAGGAAGAAATAAGCGGGGCTGCTCTTCTAGCACTTAACGATCGGATGGTTCAGCAACTAGTGAAGAAAATTGGTCACCAGGCTGTCCTGATGGATTCAATTGAAAAATATAAGCAGAGCAGCCGAGCAACGCAGCATCCTGGACGCTCTGGATGCCCTGAGGAGGCGGCCCCCCGCGCAAAAGCAGAAGCAACCCCAGAGTGAGTAGCTCTGACCGCGCAGGGTCCCAGGGTTGGGGTCTGTGCTTTCCCAAGGAGCCTGCAGCATCTCTCTGGAGGTCGAGCTCTTGGATCCCTGCAAGCATTTTCAGCTGCTTTGTGTGTCCAGTATTTCTAAGACGCTCTTGGCAGAATTTTATGAATCAGATACATCATTGTTACTCCCCCACCCTTTAAAACATGACTCCAGCTGCTAGGGAAGTGCTCTAAGCTGGGAGAGCCCAGGAGAGCCGCTGACACACAGCAGACGACAGGAGCTCCACTGCTCGGTCCTAACACCCATGCCCGCAAAAGGCCACTCGGGCTGCAGCTGTATTTTTCAACCGACTATTTACTTATGTATTTATCATTTGCTTATATATGTGTTTGCTTGGGACTCACTTTTGTGACCAATTTACACCCTCAAAGGCTTCACAATGCACTTTGCCAACCACCCTCGCCACAGTGAGTGTCCGGGTTCTTAGAATAATCAATGATGATAGTACCTGACAGAAATCGTGTAGAAAGATTTGTGTTGACAGATAAATAAAGATCCTGAGACCCGAAGGTAATTGTTTTTTTATTCATTGTTTCCTGCAACAATGAAAAGATATGAAAATAGGATTTATCAATTTAAAATTTTCTTTTGAGAAATATCCCAGGATTTTTATAGGTATTTTGATTTGGTGTTTTTATATTGAAGACATCTTGCAAGGCTGATAAGGTTAGATATTTGCCACTTACTCATTAATTTTAAAAAATAGATGTGATGTTTGGTGTCATCCCTTCTATTTTTACATTTTTAGAAGCTGAATATGCAGTAATATATACTTCTATTGACAAGCAATGTAACGTTACAGAGACTAAGCTTAAGTAGTTTGATTTCCAGAATATTTGGATATTTGGGGCATGGAGAGGTCAGGTAACCCTGGAAGGGTGGTTTCCAGTTGGACTGGAAATTCTCTCAACTGACTTCAGTTGAATGATTTCTCTTAAAGATTGTTTTGTTGCACAATTGAATATGTGATTTTTAGTGAGGTTCCCACTGTGAGCTTCTAATCCTTTCTAGCAAGGGGAGGGTGTGAATTTCAAGGAGAATGCAAAGTAATTTCTGGGCATTTTTAGATGAGTAGAGCTTTTGAGCCGGAAGTTCCCTCAGTTGACTGGAGTCTTGATATGTCTTGGGCACAGCTTAGAAGAAAGCAGACAGCCTTGTTTCCACTACAGACTGGTTTATAATACTCTCTAGTACATGAGAACTGGTTGGATCTTCACACAGTCTGAGCTTCACTCCCTGATTCTTCCACTCCCTGGGATGATTATATTAAATGCTGGCACTTCTTCTTTTACTTTCTTT